CCCCCCCCCCCCGTCCAACGCGTATGTGGAATAGGGCGTGCTTGATCAGCTTGCCGGCGCATGAGGCCTCGCCACCAAGTCTAACGCTGAAGAACAATTTTGATCCGGGCTGTGGAGGGAAACACACAAATCAGTCTCATAGGACAGGGCGCGACCCCATAAGCAAAGCCGCAGCAGCAGTAAACGGAAGGCTCTTCTTGTTCGCTTCCAACCGTTCACATACGGTTGTTGCGTATTTAGCACCGAAAACAGCAACGAATCGTCCATCATGCGCGGCTCCATCACCGCATAATGACGCCGCCCCTGTCGCCGCCGGCGGCGCACGCCAGCGCATAGCAAGGGTTGGCTCGCAGACACGCCCTTACATGAACAAACAGGCACCTTGCATTTGTTCTGCTTTCTTTCGTGGCAGTCTTCAGCTGCTGTTGGCTGGACAGCAGGGGCCACGTGGGTGGAGCGGGGACAGCTACCGCTGCGGAGGGGTATGTCGTCGATTAATATAGGTCAGAGACACGCGATTTCGTTCCATGGGCTCAGGTGCACACGCCATCGGCACAAAGAAAACAGTGAGTGTACTGTAGTCGGCACAAAGGCACACAAGCTTACGTCCAACAGCGAAATGAAGATTTTAACCACGAAGAACCCCTATGCTTGTATTTATTTATTTGTTTGTCTCCCATCATTGGACTCTGGCGTCTGCCCCTCTGGCCGCTATCCTCCACGTCCACCAGCTAGACGACCCAACCGGGGTCACATAGGAGGGCGGGTTGGACCCCCTACTGCGGTTCCTGCCAGAGATAATTTTATCGCGAGAAGGGAACAGCAATCACTTCCCTCGCGACTTGTACCCCGGTGGTTCCGATATATCGTGCCGCGGTGTAGCGACAAGCAAAAGCAACCGCGGTATATCGGGACACCGCACCAATGAGTGCTGGGTAGATTTTAGTTTTGTAGCCAAATCCCGTGACAATCGAGCGATTTTTACCACGGTGTACCGGGACCCGCACTACTCGGGACCGCGGTACGGTATATCCGGACCACCACTCCTGTACTTGAAAGCATACGGCACTCACGCAACACCAACGTACCTCGGCGCCTGTGGCGCCATCCACGACGACCATGGCGTCCTCGCCCGTAACGGTGTTGCTGTCCCCGTCGTAGAGCACCAGCCAGCAAAACGTGGGGTACTCATCCTTCCAGTCGCCGTCGATAAACACCCCGCTCTTCAAGAAGATCGGCCCGTCTATGTAGTAGTCACCGAATTGTAGCTTGATCTGCGGCGTTTCGTTGTCGAAAGTAGGGGATACGGAAGGAAATAAGGAGGTAGTGAAAGAACTCGAGGCGGCGCAGATGAAAGCAGCGAAAGTCATCCTAGGATGCTCCAAGCGCACAAGCAATGCAGCCGTCAGGGCAGAATTGGGGATCCAATCCCTACGGTCGGGAAGAGACGCGAGAAAGCTGACATGGCAGTATCGCATGTGCGGGATGGGAGAGGAGAGGTTGCCGAGAATTGTATGGGAGGCGAAGTGCGCCAACAAAAAGAGGGGTAGACAACCCACGGAATGGGTCAAGGTTGTAGAGGACGTATGGTAGGGGCTCGACATCGACGAAGATGAAACGCTGGAAACGGAGGGTCTACAGGGGTTCAAGGAGAAGATATCTGTTGCTTGTGCCGAGAGAGACGAACAGAATCTGAGGAAAAAATCCAAGGATAAGGAGGGTCTAGAAGTGTACGGAATGTTGAAGGAAGGAATAGGGTTCAAGGACTACCTACATGGACCAATGGATGCAGGAACAAAG